CGCTTGGCTCACATATTTGAACATCATATCATCAAAATATTCCATGTTTTGTAATTTACTAATCCACAGGGATGGAAACCGATGGACTCGATGTTGCGAATATCTTTTATTTTTAATGTAGATTTTGCAAGTTGTGTTCCAAATACTTTTGTGCTTTTCAAATTTCACTCTTCGTTGGAGATGTCCTTTATTGATTTTCTTCTATCGATGAATTACGTATAATTTCAAATTACACGCGATAATTCGATAGAGTTAGAGATGGCTTTGGCGAATTTTCGCTTCGTGTAAAAAATAATTGCTTTAATATCTCACGCAACGCGTATTCGATATTCGTAGGAGATAGAAATAGTGAATCCTCATTTGATATACTGGAATAATTGGAAGTTGATGAACATCAAAAATGAATGCTGCGCGCGTAATTTGAAAAGAAATTTGAATTTGAAACAAGGGCCTTGACATACGCAGGTGGTTTCCATCTCTAGCCTAACCACAGATTTGCTGACTGAATTGATTTGATATGCTTTTGCCCATTACCTAATCTCCCATAAATGAAAAATAACAAATCAAAATTGTACATAACATTTGTTTAAGCTTTAAGTATGTTTTAATTTAAATATATTTGTATATGCTTTTGCCCACTTCCAAACCTACCGAATCCGAAATGTTAGCCTCTCTCTTTCTCTCTCACTCCTCTTGTACATAACATTCGTAAAGCATTTGTTTGTTTTTGGAAAGATTTGCCCCCCAACTAATCTCTGCCAAAATTGTACGTATACTTAATATTTATTGCGAATGCTGCACTCCGGATCAGATGGGAGCAACATGGTCATGTTGTCCACCACATCGCTGCTGCACGGCAATTGCGTGTTCAACCGCAACAACACCGTCGCCACACAGCAGGGCATGAAGACCTATTGGCTGTGCAAGTCCTATCGAATCAGCATGTGCCGAGCGCGCTGCATCACACATCTGGGCAGGATCATATCCGCGACGGGCGTGCACAATCATATGCCGCACATGCGAGGCGGCAGCGCTGGCAACAACAACAACTCCAGCAGCAGCAATGCAAACAACAACAGTAGCAGCAGCGGCAATAATTTAGTCACTGTCACGCCCAACCCTAATCCTGGGCAGGTCAGCTACGATGTCACGCCCACAACTAGTGTCCTAGAAATGAATCATCATGGCCCAGTCGGACGATTAAGCAGTAATCCGTATGCCAGTCAGACCACTCCAACAGCAGCTGTAGCCGCCCTTCCCATTGGGCCGCATCATCATCACCACCACCATCCCCATCCCCATCATCATCATCAACAGCAGCAGCAACAGCAACAGCAACAACAACAGCAGCAGCAACATCATCAGCTGACGCAGGCATTGCCCAATCTTCTGGTGCAGCATCACAGCATGGATCAGCATGGCATGTCAGCAGGTCCGCCGCCTCCGCCTCCACCTCAGCCGCCAGCACCTCCACCGCCAACAGCCACAGCGGCCGCAGCAGCAGCCGCTGCCGCCGCCGCCGCAGCATCACACAGCGTCATCCAGAACATGATGCACAACAATCCGAATCTGATGCACTTGCCACAGCACTCACAGCATTCACCACACTTGGAGCTGGGAGCAGCTGGCTCCACGCTGTTGCCTCTGGCCGACCAGAGTCCACAGTCGAATCGGAGCAATCACTCCGCCTCCATGCATGCCAACGAATCGCCGCTGGGCATGAAGAGCCCGCCGCCTACTGCCAGCCAAATGGATGCAGCCGAGCAGCAGCAGCAGCAGCAACAGCAACAGCAGCAACGGCAGCATGTGGATATCAATGCCAGTGCAGATGGCTCGGCGGAGAGTGCTCAGGTCATCGACTCCATAACGATATCGCCGGGCAGTGGACATAACTTCAAGATCGAGAACATCTAAAGGAATTAGCTCATAAGTTGATGATAATTTATTGCGGCTAGAAGCCGCTTAGTTAGTCTGTCTAGATGAAATTCATTGATTTAATTTTCGATTATTTGTATGTATGTATATATATACGATTTACATATGTATGTATGTACCGAATGTAAAATGCAAAAATGAAACATATTCTGACAATGTCGAACCCTTTTCGTCGGACTTAATGCAATTCGGATGAGATCTAATCTTAACTAATCTGATTTGGTCTAATCTAATTGATGAGTTGATAATTTGTGGACAAAGGCACGTTTTCTCATTGTCTAAGCTGAGAGTTGAACCTAATAAATAGATTGACTGCCTGCCTTAACTCTATGGCAGCTATACTGGCTGTCAATATGGATGATGCTCATATCTGAAGGTCGGCTGAAGTAACTGTTAGTTAAATTTTGAAATATATGAATTGTAGTTAATAGATCTTGCTTCAAGTTTGCTTAGACAAATGAGATAATCGTGCCTTAAGATAGCTTTAAGCAATCAGGTAAGTCCTAACTCATGGTAATTGCATGAGACTTTAATAATGGGGCTCATTTGTGAATGTCCAGTCATCAATCAGTCATCCAATCACACACACTCACACCCACCCACACACACACACACACACAGAGACAACGCACACACACATATACTTTCAATGCTGGCTATCTTGTGTATATTGTAGTCGCACCTGGCGAGCATTGGTTCCAAGGCAAGCTCGAGTTCATGCTGAGCCAGCGTGGCAAACCGCTCCTGGTCCACGACGGGCACACGTTCGGCATTCAGTACGTGCGCAAGGATAAGAAATATTGGCAGTGTAATTTATCGCGCAAGTTCAATTGCAAGGCTCGGGTGACGACGACGGACACCGGCGAGATAATCGTGACGAACAACGAGCATTGCCACACGGAGATACGCCAGCACTTGCGCAAGGACTATCAGCGGAACAAGGTCATGATGAATGCCCTGATCAATTTGAGCACGAATCGTTTGGCCGAGATGCGGCGCCACAATTTGGCCGGATTGGGTGCGTTACCAGCGATGGGCATGGTATCGGGTGCGCCAATCATTGATGAGGTCGTGCAGAATCTGCACGATCTGGCCAAGGCATCGGCCGAGGCGAGCCAGCAGCAGCAACATCAACGGGCCAATGAGGCACTTAAGTATGAGAACGATGAACCGCTAGACTGTGGCATTCGCAATGCTTCTGCCTTGGAGAATATGGCGCGTAGTTTTATGAGCAGCAACAATCAAAGCCCAAATAAGGACACTGATCTAACCAAAGAGCATGATTGGCCGTGCAAGAATGAGGGTGCTGATGTGCATTGAGAGCGCACGTTTCAAATTGTTAGAGAGCGCGAACGCAACGTTGCATTTTCGATGCCGATAACAGCGGCGAAATTTTTCGATAGGCAAGCGCCACCTGGCGCATTTAGATGTTAATTTAAAGGAAAACAAACAAATTAAGTACAAACGGAAAGCAGCAATAATACTCAAATAAATAAAAAAGAAAGACGATACCAAAATGAATTCCAAAGAATTTAGTTAATAAACTACATTTGATTAGCGAATTTAAGAAAAAATATACATTTCTGTTAACTGCAGCAAGACATACATGAAGTAGTATCGTTTTATGTTATATTAGTTTTACATTGTAATAACTTGAATTTTTAATAAAATTTTAAAATTTTTAAAATTTTCTTGGGTGTGTATGAGTATGATTATGAACTTATATATTAATCACACGGCTCAGCTTCTGTATGCGATTCAACAGAAGATCACCCTGTTTGATGGTTGCCTGATACTGCCAATTCTTGTTATCTGGTCGATTGGTCTCCACAATGCCGCCCACGCGATCAACCTTGGCGTGCAGGCGTCCAGCGGCAATGAATCGGGCCAGCTCCTGATCGATGTAGTCGACAGTGACGCCAAAAGCCTCGGCCATATATTGAAGCGTTAACGAACGATAAGACTCCAGCAGTTGTGTGTATCCCAAGATGCGCATCTCTCGCACGTAATAACGGTAGTGGGGATGCACGAGATAATCGGCGCGCAGTTGCTTCTCCACCTGAGCTAGATTCACATAGAACTGTTCGTACTGGCAGTTGAAGAGGGAGAACAGGAACTGCTTCACATCGGGCAGGCCGTGCAGCACCTCCTGGATTTCGGAGCCCTTCACTACCTTCTCGCGCAGCTCGTTGCGTGGCAGTGCAATCATGGCTACGTAAACAGTGTAGCGGACGAAGGTCGGGTAGTCCATGAGCTCGTATGAGGTGAAGGTGCTGACAGTGTCCAGGAAGAAGGTGGCCGCTGCCTTGAAGTCGCGCACAGCAACCGAATAAATTCCCTGATATACCTTCAAGCGATTACGGCGATCCCAGTCGCCACCCTCCTCAATCAGATACTTGGCCTTGTCGATGTTGCGTGTGATTAGGTCGTGATCCAGATAGAACAGACCCAGACGAATCAGATGGAAGACAATGTCCAGGCGGTGGCCTAAGGACACGGTCTTCTCGTACGTCTTGCGGAAGGCTGTCTCAGCGGCTGCCTTGTCGCCGATACGGCACAGGTATTCCGACTTCTTCAGATTGGCTTCGCGTACCTCCATCTCGCCTAGATTCTTCTCGGCATCATCAATGGCAGCGTCCAGCTGTTCAATTGCAATACGGTTCTGTTCGCGCATACGTGCCAGCATATCCTTGTCCACAGTCCAATTTAACTCTGTGCAGATGTGCTCATACCATGGGGCCATATTATCGGCTCGAATAGCATCGAGCAGCTTGGTCTTGAGTGCTGCATCTTGTTTGTGTTCGGAGAGCGTGAGAAGGAACTTTGTTTGTGCCAACTCCAGGTTGGGGTTCTTCTCCAGGCCTTGCTCCTCAAGGTTTTCAGTCGGCATTTTGTTTTCTTAGACGCCTCGATTAAATTAAACAAGGAAATAATTTCCAACTCAAGATGAACTATGTTTTTGTCAAAGCCGCAGAGTCATGTACGAACTAAAGTTGGCTGCGCTGTTTTCAACAGTGCTGCAAAATATCGCAACTATAATCGATAAGACTGATACAAAATTGTTTATCGAAAGGAAAAAAAGGGGGAGTGCAAGAGCAATTGATTTTTTGTGAGGAAAAGTGATAGTGAGCCCCAAATTTGTGGAAAATTTTTGATTTTCCAGCCGACTGCCTAAGCTAGAGCACGAATTTTCAATAAGGTCCGTTTGCGCAACTAGAAGACGCAACAATGATTGGTGGTTTGTTCGTTTACAACCACAAGGGCGAGGTACTCATATCCCGAGTTTATCGCGATGACATCGGTCGCAACGCCGTGGACGCTTTTCGGGTAAATGTCATCCATGCCCGACAGCAGGTGCGCTCCCCAGTAACGAACATTGCGAGAACCAGCTTCTTTCACATCAAGGTTTGTGCCACGTCAACCGGATATGAAAGATCGTTGCCTTTAATGACTGTTCCCCCTCTATATTTGTAGCGTGCCAACATTTGGCTCGCAGCTGTGACCAAGCAAAATGTGAATGCTGCCATGGTGTTCGAGTTTTTGCTAAAGATCATTGAGGTGATGCAGTCGTACTTTGGCAAGATCTCCGAGGAGAATATCAAGAACAACTTTGTGCTCATCTATGAGCTGCTCGACGAGATCTTGGACTTTGGCTATCCGCAAAACACCGACTCGGGCACCCTCAAGACATTCATCACACAGCAGGGCATCAAGTCGGCCACCAAGGAGGAGCAAATGCAAATCACCTCCCAGGTTACGGGACAAATCGGATGGCGACGCGAGGGCATTAAGTACCGACGCAACGAACTGTTCCTCGATGTGCTGGAGTATGTCAATCTGCTAATGAGCCCGCAGGGTCAAGTGCTGTCAGCTCACGTGGCTGGCAAGGTGGTCATGAAGTCCTATCTGTCAGGTAGGTCATGAAATGCCCTCTACTCGCATTATTATTAATGATCAATCCTATTTCTCAGGCATGCCCGAATGCAAGTTTGGCATCAATGACAAAATCGTTATGGAATCGAAAGGTCGAGGCCTTTCCGGCAACTCGGAGGCCGAAACCTCGCGCTCCGGCAAACCGGTAGTTGTAATTGACGATTGCCAGTTCCATCAGTGCGTCAAGCTGAGCAAGTTCGAGACGGAGCATTCCATAAGCTTTATACCGCCGGACGGTGAATTCGAACTCATGCGCTACCGCACAACAAAAGACATTTCGTTGCCATTCCGAGTTATACCCTTGGTCCGAGAGGTGGGCCGCACCAAGATGGAGGTGAAAGTGGTGCTCAAATCGAATTTCAAGCCCTCGCTGCTTGGCCAGAAGATCGAGGTGAAGATACCCACTCCGCTCAACACCTCGGGCGTGCAATTGATTTGCCTCAAGGGCAAGGCCAAGTACAAGGCATCGGAGAACGCAATCGTCTGGAAAATCAAGCGAATGGCAGGCATGAAGGAGACGCAGCTCTCGGCCGAAATCGAACTACTCGAAACGGATACCAAAAAGAAATGGACTCGCCCACCCATATCCATGAACTTTGAGGTCCCATTTGCGCCATCGGGCTTCAAGGTGCGCTACCTAAAAGTCTTCGAGCCGAAGATCAACTACTCCGATCACGACGTGGTCAAATGGGTGCGCTACATTGGCCGCAGCGGCCTCTACGAAACCCGTTGCTAAACGTGTTCCACGATGTTTTGAATCGAAGGAGCATAAGGAGTAAACACAAATAAGAGAATTGAACGTTAGAGCCAATATATATTGTTATTGGAATTTAACTCAATCCAAATTGAACAAATGTTGTCTCGTATTCCAAATTTAGTTCTTCAACAATGGGCGAATAGTTAGCCCACAACAATCCTATATATACAAAGATACCAAGCATATATAGTAGCGCAACGGACACACATACATATATTATACATACCATTATATATATAAAATATATATATATTATATTATTATTATTATTATTTACACATCATTATAATTATAATCCTATCGTTTACAACACGCCCTGGCGCGCGTCTCAAATCTCACTCTCATATTTTTTTTTTTGCTGCTCCCAACTATGATTTGTATTATTATATTAAAAAGTTTCTCTTTTTTATGAACATTTAATGTAGACCAAAACCTGTCAGTCAACGGTAATTGATATTAATATTCAAAGTGTTAATACTATTCGAATTGTTTAATAAATAAATAGCATACATATACAATCAAAATAATGAATAACTAGCCGCCTCTACTATGACTAATTTCAAATATATAGCTCGCCTCTTCGGACACATAATAAATGTTTAGATATGTGCCACAACTGGACTTATAATTTGTATATGTACATATATAGACTATGCCCAGCTGAAGTTAATTAACGATTCGCTGATAAACGCACACAAATGACATATCGTATGATTGTGTGTGTGTATATGAGTGAGTGAGGATACTTTGTGGTTGTATACGTGCACTGATATTTTTAACTGGCCTTTAAAATTATTATGTACATAAGAACTGTTGTGTTGGGCATACCCGACTATCAAATACCTTATAATGAACTTGTAGCAGTACAGAGGAAGGTAACAATCTAACTATTTTTCAATCGCATAGATCTACTATCGGTTACACAATCGATAGATCGGATAATCAAACCATATACATATGTATCTATGTATGTGCATATGTATACTAGGGCCTCATATGTACATCACAGCAAAAGCAATATACCCTATCAACTCGCTTTGCATGTGGTTTAGGGTCTAATTAGATAGAGAGTGAGCGCTTGGTGCTTGGCGTTTGGCTCTTTACACAATAAATGGAAAACTTTCGTTGACCAAAGTTCATTTTTGATTTATACGGAGACAATAGTTATTGTTATTTATAGTAGTCACCGGGCCTTCGAAATTAGATTTCAGTTCGTTTACGGTAAGATATTAATTAATTAGAATATATATGTGATAGGAATACACACACACACAGATACATACAAACACAAATACATATGCATATGTACTCATAAGGAGTTGCGCCTTATCTCTAGACTGAATCATCAATTCGAACTACAATTTAACAGCATTGATAACAACGGAAACCAAGTTAACTGCAATTCCAGCTAAAGAAGACCAAAAATGAATGCTCTGGTTCCCGATGTGGTGGATGAGGCGCCACCGAAGGACAAGCTGAAGGTCACCTATGCAGCAGATCTGGTTGTCAAGGAGGGCAACGAGCTTACGCCCTTGCAGGTCAAAGATGTGCCGCAAGTCTCGTGGGACACGGCTGAGGGCGATGAGGGACAGCTGCACACGCTGCTAATGGTCGATCCCGATGCACCCAGTCGCAAGGAGCCCAAGTTCCGGGAGATCTTGCACTGGGCCGTTGTCAACATACCCGGCAATCAGCTGAGCAAGGGTCAAACTCTGGCGGAGTACATTGGCTCCGGCCCGCCAGAGGGCACCGGCCTGCATCGCTATATATTTCTGCTCTATCGCCAGAGCAAGAGGATTGAGGAGACGCTGCACATAGATAAGCGGTAAACGTACATATATATATAGATTAAATTCAATAATTATATAACCGGGTATATTCAATCGCAGCACCCGCGAAGGTCGTTTCAACTTTAGTGCCCGGACTTTTGCTGCCAAACATGGCCTGGGCGAGCCCATAGCTGGCTGCTTCTACGAGGCGCAGTATGATGACTATGTGGCCATACGGAACAAGGAGTTCGCTGGCTGAGCAGGTGTTCAAAGTTTGTCGTTGTAGTCATCCTTGTCAATAAATTGAAGCATTTGTTGCACTTATCGCCGCTGCTATCAGCTGGCCAAGTCAGTCGACTCGACCCGACTCGTCTTTATCTTTATCTTTATCTAGAGCGCATTTGGGCAAAAAAAAAAAAACTGCACGAAAATGAAAAACTGATTACGGCTAGCCACACGTCGACTTTGCCGGGATCGATAAATAGCGCACGCATTGTCATTGGCAGGCAGAGTCACTGCGTTAACGCCAGACAGAGCATAACCCGCAGCAAGAGCAACATGGACACCAGCGGTATCATTCCCGACATCATCGACGACAAGCCAAAGGCTCGTGTTACCATCACCTACCCATCCGGTGCTCAGGTCGATCTCGGCAAGGAGCTCACGCCCACACAGGTGAAGGATCAGCCCACCGTTAGCTGGGATGCCGAAGCTGGCGCCCTGTACACTCTCCTCATGGTCGATCCTGATGCACCCAGCCGCAGCGACCCCAAGATGCGCGAGGTGCTCCACTGGGCCGTGATCAACATTCCCGGCAACAACGTGGCCAATGGTCAGGTGCTCGCCGAGTATGTGGGCGCCGGCCCATCTGAGGGCAGCGGTCTGCATCGCTATGTCTTCTTCGTCTTCAAGCAGAACGACAAGATCACCAGCGACAAGTTCATCAACAAGACGTAAGCGGATCTACAGCCCACTTCCGGCTTTCATTAGGCGTAAATAATACGAAATTTTGTTATTTTCCAGCACTCTGGAGGGTCGCCTCAATGTGAAGATCCGCGACTATGTGGCCAAGTATAACTTCGGCATTCCTGTGGCCGGCAACTTCTTCCAGGCTCAGTACGACGACTACGTGCCCACCATCCGTGCCCAGTTGGGCAAATAAGCAACACACTCTTGTTCTCTGTAAATCATGAATCAATAAATCTTTATACCTATTTGTTCATAAGCAAAACAAAGTCAACTATGTCCTATTCCTTGCCCCTGAAGAAGTCGGCGACCAGCTTGTTGAACTCCTCTGCGTAGCGTAGATGTATATTGTGTTTGCCGTCGGGGAACTCGTGGTAAAGTGCGTTGGGCAGCCGCTGCTTTAGCCAGGGCACATGCTCGGGGGCAATCATTGGATCCTTCTTGCCGTGCAATATGAAGACGGGCGCCTTGACTTGCTCCACTTCGCTGCGACAGAAGTCGCCATCGCGTTGCTTGTAGAACTCGCAGGCGGCATCAACCCACTCGCCCCATAGTTGGGCGAAACGCTCCACGCCGTAGACCTTCTCCATGGGCTCTCGCATGCGTGGCGACCATTTGGCCACGTCGCGTATTGCTTGTAGTGACTGCACCTCATCTTTGTTTAGATACGCACCGGCACCCCATATGGCCAGCTTCTCCACAGCATCGGCGTGCCGGCCGGCGAGGATCAACGCAGTGATGCCACCATCGCTCCAACCTAAGACTGAGAACTTGGGTCTGTTCAGTGCTCGCATTAGCTTGACAGCTGCTTCAGCATCCTCGCGAAAGAACTCCAGCCCAAACTTCCTTTGCGGCGGCACTGATTTGCCATAGCCGGGCGGATCCCAAGCAATGATCGTATGATCTGGCAACAGTTTGGGCAGCTGTTCGATCTGTGGCTTAAAATCCGTCCAGGCGGAGCCTAAGGCGCCCGGCATTAAGAGCAAGCTGCGCGAGCCGCTGCCACTTTCGACAATGTGCAAGTCACCCGTATCGGGCACCTGCACCTTGCGCTCCGTGTGGGCGCATCTGCTGGCCATTCCAGGCAAGAGGCGACCGGCCGCCAAACGGCTAAGTCGAGTGCCTACGATCATTACGTAATTGAGCTGTTATCAGGGGAATAAGCGTTAGTCAAATTGTCTCTGTCGAGTACTCTTTAAATCAGCGCGATTGCCTGTTGCTTGTGTTAATAAACACACACATACAGCTATACACCTGCCTTGTAAAGTGTTCGATAATAAATCTCAAATTAATCGCACAGCTGTAAACGTAACGAACACAACAATCGGCTTTTAGGAGAGCGGGCAGCAGTGAAGGGTGGCAAGCTGTTGTTCAGCTGTTGCTGCCTTACTTTTACAACACTGCTGCTATCAACTAGAGCTGTTATTAACATAGGTCAATTTTAAAATGTTTGTTTTACTAATTGTTGGTAAGCTCTACACCAATAGAATAAATAAATAAACAAATAATATAAAATCATTAATATTATTATTTTACTAATTGCTGGCACTCTACCATAAAACAATACATATCTTGTTACTATTTGAACCTAACGCTTAAAATTCTGTTATTTAACATTTAGATTTGCGTATTAATTGACATCCTCAGAACTATGCAACATTTTAAATAATTATTATGTCCTTGTAATCCACGAAGTAAAAGTATGCTAACAAATTATTTATGTGCACCGAGCTAAAAATTCCATTATTCCCGTTTCTTATTAGGGACATTCAAATTCTTAAAGCGTACTCAGCTGTGGCCGTAACCATATGAAATACCCTGTGTATGAAAATGTTTCAAAGCTTCTTGCTAGGCATTCCTCAACAGTCGCTGCATCACGTTGCTGCAGTCAAAACGGGCAGCGCGTTTTCATGTGCGAGACTCAGCTTAATATTGCTCACTAAATGGAAAAAATCTTATAATTAAATTCTGTAAATATCCTGCGTAATAATGCGTAATGGTTAGTGCGTGATTTGTGTATAGAGTGACGTTAATAATGATGCATATTCTTACATGCGCGAGCACACACGCACACACATATGTACCAAGGAACTGCGGCGGCCTTGCAAGAGTCGTGTGAAATTGCATATTATATGCGCTTAACCTAACAGTACCCATTTACACTAACGAGTGCGGTCGAAAATATCCTACAAACTCACACACACACGCACATAGGCACACAAGCAGATGCACATACACATTAAGTTATGCACAGCTGCAAATGCAAATCGAATTTGACGCCGAACTGTCGAAGTTGTGAAGTGTGTAATAAATGTCAAGGCATTTACACGGGTCGTCCTAGACGTCCCTGTATCAGTATATATGTATGTGCATATCTATGTATATACAGATATATGTATATAAATATATGCATGTGTATATTCTGTCCCTTCTAATACGCTTCGAGTGGTGCAGGTTATGAACCTGCGTGTTCTGCGCTCATTACGCATGTGTGAGTGTATGTATGTGTGCGCGTTTGTATGAGTGTGTGTGCGCGCATATATGTATGTTAGTAGTACGCATATGCACGGTTCGTCCAAGCAAGCGAGCTTTTAATTTTTGTCATTCTGATGCCCTACACACAACAGACAAGGCTAATTCGTAGTCTACTGCTCGGGGCGAATGGAAGTGCAGCCAAAAGTTGATTGTTGCTAAGTTAAGGCAACTGTTTTAGTCCTTAAATTAGTGAGCATTTGCATTATAATATAAAGAAAATAGTATTCAAGAATATTAAATGTAATTTGTGTGCATTACAGCACGGATGTAGCGTATACGAAATGTTTCCTATGCCGTCAGCTGGCAAGCAGTAAATTCGCAGTCGGAGCTTTTCTTATCCATTGGAAACGCTGTGAAGGAATTGAGTTTGAAATTGCAGTTCAGTCTTGTCGTGAATGCAGCGCAGATCGATATTAAAACCTGAAGCAGCGGGAAGCTGAATTGGGCGGAAAATTCGACATATAATTTTTGTAATCCCGTTTCGGGAAAAAGAGTCCAGATTCCTTATCATTAATTCTAAATCAGTATTCCCAAAGTGAAATTTAAATTGTTGAAAACTGTGGGAAGAAATAAAATGTGAGCGAGTGTGTGCTGGACCGTTGTGTAAGCAAATGAAGTGTTTGAACCACAAATCAGTTCAAAGCCAAAATCAATAGTGAAAATATAATCAGATAAGCACTGATTGATATAAAATAATTGTTGAAATCGTTCATAGTGCTCCCAAGCATAGCGAAATTTTCGCCTACGTATAGTGAAAATTTTCCGATTTTTAGTATGTACATGTACGTTGAGGCGCTTGTGGGCGCCATAGCTGTTAAAACGGGTGGAGGGGGTGTCCGGCGAGCTTTTTCCACCCCTACGCCTAGCCACAAATTAGGCTGCTGCTGCTGCTGCTGCTAACGGCACTCGAACACGAATAAACTGTCGAAATAATAGAGAAATGTGCACGCTTGTTAGTAATTTATTAACCCATATGCAAATAAAGTGTACAAAATGCTCAACACTCAAAGAACAACACAATCAAAGAGTAAAAAACATCAATTCAAGTGAATTCTAAGTGACGGTAACAGTTCAGTAACAGTTGAGTAACAGCCGCAGCCAACATTGCGCGCGACGAGCTTTTCACTCTCTCCCTCTCTCTCTCTCGCTCACTCTCTCTATCTGTCGCTCTTTGCAACTGGAAAAAGTTCAATGAAAGTTCGAAGCGCGGATAAAATTCCAATGCGTTTCGGCCTCCCATAGTAATAGTACACACCAATACAAGGACAAACACAAAGCAGAAACAGAAGCAGAAACAGAAACAGAAGCAGAAACAGGAAAGCTGACTCTCAAGGACTGGAATACAACGTGTATACGCGCAGCGCAGCGCAGAGCAAGGCGACATTTACGTTTTACGCGCGCAACTCTGTGTGTAAGTGTGCTAGTGTGTTAGTGTGTTAGTGTTAGTGCTACAGTGTGTGAGTGTGTGCGTGTGTGTGAATGAGCGCGCGCCAAGTGCAACATATCAAAGCTTAAATATATATACATACACACACCAACATCATCCTCACACAGACTATGCACTTGAGACAATGACAGACCACAGCATTGATTACGCCCGCAAAATGGACGCCGCTGAGGAGCTACTGTCGCTACAAGAAAATAATAATAATAATAATAATACTAACAACAATAGTAATAATAGTAGCACGCGATTGCTACCCGCGCCCATTAAGGCCTGCTCTGCCACCTCCGACTTGCTGTTTAACAAGGCGCGTCGACGTCGAAGAGAACTGGATGAACGGCACTCGCAGCTCAGTCCACGTCCACAGCCAGGTGCTCAGCCTCGTCCTTGCCAACGGCCGCTTGTAATGGTC